TACTAAACAAAAAACAAAAAAGCCAAACAAACTAGAAAGAGGAGGGAAAAAAATAAAACAGACAAAACAAAACAAACCAAGAATCACATACAACGGGCAGGAGAGATGGCTCAGAGGTTGAGAGAGCACTGGCTGCTCTTGCAGAGGTCCTGAGTTCAATTCCCAGCAACCACATGGTGACTCACAACCATCTTTCATGAGATTTGGTGTGCAGGCATACATGCAGGCAGAACACTGTATACATAATAAATAATAAATAAAATCTTTTTTTTAAAAAATCAAACAATATGGAGTTCATTTTGTGTTGGCCAACTACTCCTGGGCATGGGGGTTGCCTGAGAGTGTAGATAATAAACACATTACCACTCCATAGAAGAAAAGTGGTTTTTCCTGATACCCAGCAGGTATCAACTGCAAATAGCTTCCTTTATATGTTGGTAATTTTTAAGTATATGTGTTGTGTGCCTGCGGTATGTGTGTCCTCCTCTACCAGTCTCCTTGATCTCCTCTACACAGTCTCTCACTGGGTTTAGCGCTTGCTGCTTTTCAGCTAGGTTGACCAGCTAGTGCCAGTGATGCCTCCCAGCCTCAATACTGACCCTCAGACATGAGCACCCAGACACATCCCGCTTTTATGTGAGAACCGAAGAACTGAACTCGAGGGTGCTCATGCCTACACAGTAAGTGCTCTTCTCCACAGCTGCCTCCCCAGCCTCCACATGCTCTATTAACTGGTGCACAGGGGAAGGAGTAATAACCTGTAATGAAGTGCGAAAAGACAAAAACAAGAACCAGAGAGAGGCCAGGGATGTGGTAGAGTGCCTGCCTAGCATGGGTGGTGACCTAAGCTCAAGCCTCCATTTAAAAAAAAACAAAAAACAAAAGGGAGAAAGAAACACCCAGGACAAAGCTCTTATCTCTTCATCTCGCTTTAATACAGAAGTCTTTTACATGGCCGCAAAACAACTTCAAGAGCAGAAGAAATGTGAGCAATAGACTTCAAGAAATAAGAACATCACTGTATGGATGGCTAGGTATCTTACAGTATGTTTTAGATGTTCTCAAGTGTGTGATGCCATTGAATTTTAGGATTACCAAAGGATTATCAAAGCAGGGATGACTTTGAGGAATGTTTGTTTCCCACAGTGCAGCAGTGGTCCTCAATGGCATGCATTGGAACCTGGGGGGTGGGGGAGAGGAGGCACTGGCCTCATTTCCAGGATTCCACAGAAAATGCATCTCTAATAAACGTCTTCTTTGTTTTTCAAGACAGGGTCTCACTATGTAGCTCTGCCTGTCCTGGAACTCACTCTGTAGACCAGGCTAGCCTTAAACTCATGGAGATCTACCTGCCTCTGCCTCCCAAGTGCTGGGATTAAAGCCACATGCCACTACTGCCTGGCTCTAACAAGCTTCCTAACCTGGGAGAGCTACCATATAAATCTACCTGTGACAGAGATGACACAACTCTAGTCCCAGGGATCCGGCTCACTCCTGCCACACTATGAGGAAGCATGACCTGGAAGTCACCAGATAAAGTTCTGATCCTGACCCCATGTCACTGTGTGCATCCTATTCTTTGAAAGTAAAGCCCAGTAAAGCTATTCATCCTTGGAAAAATATATAAGGGTTTATTCCCCACTATTTTATCACTTACATTATACCAATCTCGGTTTGAAATGAGCCAGGGAAGCCACTTCCACATATACAACTCAAATCTACCTCATGCACAGCATGGTTCCCCTGGCCTTTTCCTAGATGGCCCTCATATCTGCTAGCACATTGAGGGCTAATTCCAGCCGGTGCCATTTAGGGAAAAGTCAGCAGGAGCTGAAAACTCTTGTCAAAGCCGGGGTATGACGCAGTGATACTCAGTGTGCTGTATGTGCAAGGTCCTGGGTTCAATCCCGGGCCACGCCAATAGCAAAACCCACAAAGAGCACAACAATATAAAAAGAGACTCCAAAGCCTCATCAGTGGGTGGCTGGCTGCCCTCACTCCAGGCATCCAGGGCACAGGTACCCTGCCTTCCCCTGGAATAAAGACACCTGCCTCTCCCGGACAGACCTCAGCTTCAGGGTCACACTTGCTGTTCACTAATTGATTCCAGCTGAATCTACATTCCGCTGAGGTGGAATGAAAAGCTCAGATGGAGCACGGGGTTGGGCTTCCATCAAGACAAGAAGAAAGGGCCCGAAGCTGGGTGGTCTCATTTCTAACGGCCCCCGGGGACCAAGTGGCCTTGCGGTAAGCAATTCATAACCATAAGAAAGCAAACTGTAAAATATACTTTCTCATAAAGCTCTGGCCGCAATTGGCAACCAGGTCCATGAAATGTTGTGGAACCCCAGCAGTGGGGTGGGTGCTGTCTGAGCGGCTAGTATGCACAGCCAGGGGAAGAGCATTTCTGGATTGAAGTCAGAAGAAAAATAGCACCAACATGTTAGCTGACAGCAGGGACGAGTGTGCGCGCACGCACACAACAGACACATGAACACGCACCATGCATACGTGCACGGACACTCATGCACACGCTTTTTTCTTCCTTTCTCACCTTGCCCTGACAGCTGACTTTGACAGGCTGTAACATATGGAGAAGAACCTCCAAATGCAGCCAGTCAGCAGCCACCTGAGCAGGCACCATGCAACTCTGAGAGCTCCAGTGTTTGTCCCAGGGCAAACACCCATGGTGAGGAGTTGAGTACCAAGGCCAGCTTCAAGTGTCTTGACTGGTCCTAACAGTACCTGGACTAGCAATGGCTAAGCACTGCCTGTAGTGGCTCTGGTCTCAACACTGTGATATAGAGGTGGCTCTTTCACAGCTTTGTTCCTGGCCTGGGTCACAGCCCTGCTGCTCAGGTCACAGGAGCTGTTTCGCTCCAAACTCACACTTTTCTGGATTTAAAACCAGACAGCAAAGCTGCCCAGTAAGCTTCAGTAAGATGGGTGACAGTGGCATCCACATTTATATACTACAGACCAATGTCATCCTTTTTTTTTTTTTTTTTTTTTTTTTTTTTTTTAAATGTGCGTTTAAGCCGGGTAGTGGTGGTACACGCCTTTAGTCCCAGCACTTGGGAGTCAGAGACAGGCGTATCTCTGAGTTCAAGGCCAGCCTGGACTACAAAGCTACACAGAGAAACCCTGTCTCGGGGGTTTAAAAAGTGCGTTTATATACTTAATTTATCTGTGTGTGTGTGCACACGCACCCACAATACATCATGAACGTAGAAGTCAGAGGACAGCTGTGGGTTCTGGGGGACAAAGCCAGGTCGCCTGGCTTGGCAGCAGGTTGCCTTTCCCATCTCACCGGTCCCCACTGCTGCACTCTCGAGAGACCATTGTCAGGGTTAGCATGGTTTTGAAGGTAGGGAGTTGAGTGTAGGCGGCTGGGCGTTTCGGATGGACCACTTCCTGTCTTACCAGGCCCTCTTGGAAGCGAAGGTCCAGGGAGGATTCTGTGGCCGGGTCCCCGGAGGCCTAGTAAGGCCTCTTGTTGGGGAGCCTGACATTCAGGAGCTGACTGTGGAAGGCGGGAACAGTGATGGAGAGCTGATGCATTTGGGAATTCTGATTCTGCCTTCTCTCTGTTTTTAATGGGCAAAGTACACATTTTAAAAATAAACAAAAATCCATCATCCCTACAAATTTGGCCAGGAAGGCTATGCAGTGAGAGAAAGGCAGAGGGAAATGACAGGTGCTGTACTCCACATTTTATAACTCGATTTCCAGATCTTCTATTTCTACTTTGTTTACAAATTCACTTTATGGCATAAGGTGAAGCCAAACCAAACCACGTCCACTGAGGTGAACTCATTCCTCCCTTGAGCTTTGGATCTGCAGATGCTGTGAATGCCCCTCTGGCCTTACTTTGTGGGCAGAGACTACCAAAAGGAAAACCTTGGCTTCAGCACCTTTCCTTACAGAAGGTACAACACTAACAGAGACAGACTCCTGCTGGAGTCGGACTGGATTTCTCTTCACAGCCCTTACTCGCACGAGGTGAGAAGGCATGGGAGTTGCCAAGTTGTTGGCTAGCAGACCCATCAGTCTGTTTAACTCTGGCTAAAAGCAGAGAATAATGGGCAAGTTACCAAATTTCCCTGCTTCAGCTCTAGCTTGAAAGCTTGAATTCTGAAATTGAAGAAAATACAAGGAAAGCACTCAGGCACACATGACAATTCCCTTTGCCTTACTGTCCAGAGCATGCATAGCATTGGGATTTCCGAGTCCAAACAAAGATAAGACCCAAAACGTGGGCCGCAAACTAAAGGTAACTTGGTTTTTCAGTTAGATCTACACTCTGGCAAATGCTCTCAATGGATCATTCTCCATCTCACCCCCAAGCAGTTAAGTAAAGTGTTCTTCCAGTAAACAAGCTGAGCTTTCTGTTATCTAGCATGTTCTGCCAGTTCTTTAAATGTGACGGATGTGCCACCAAGTGCAGAAGCCTGGAGGGGGGGCGGGGATCTTCGAGAGACACCCCTGAGCGGTGTGGTGCACCTGCTTCCCCCCCTGTTCTAGGACCTCTTCAGCTCTCTGGGTCACTAAGGAAGAAAGCCATGTCCGCCACAATTTCAAAGGAGCCCTAGCTCTGAAGTGGCTGCCCAGGCACAAAAGGATGGATCTGGGCTAAGCCAGTTGCTGAGGACGATGTGCTCCAGGGAGGGAACACCTGAATATGAAGTTGACTTTCTCTCTACACACTCCACACACAGCTCCAGCCTGTCTCAGGCTTACAACACTGTTCAGCAAGTAAATCAGTGAGGTCGGCGTACCAATTCAAAAACAGAGCCAACACAATTAGGCCCAGGGTCACAAACTTCCTCCCTAAACTGATGGGGGAATCTTGCTAAAGTAGTGGGCGTTTCTGAAGGGGTCAGACTGACACTCTTCTAACAGCAGAAGAACACGGCTGTAACTAGGGTAATTTTAATTCTTTGACTGCTCATGGCTGTGTAATGTGGAGTGTGGGTTACCGTACTCAGACAAGGCCCACATTGATTTTTAACAAAAGGCTTCTATATTTTAATGCAAATCTAAGAACTATCTGTGGCCTAAGTTCACAGAAGACTATTCAAAACCTTAAAATTCCGTGAAACATAAATAACACAGACCCTACATTGAAGCCCTTTGTAATATTCACATTTTTCTCCAATCTGAAAAGAAATAACATCTCTCTATCAAACACCAGGGCAGAATGTAAACGTGGTGCCGACCCTTCTGGTTTTACAAATCTTCTTTTAGCTTTCACCAACAGGTAGATTACCTTACTTATCATGATCCTAAATGAGATAAAATATCCTTCTTTTAAAAATTGTTACAAATATTTATTTAAAAGTGCAATTTAAAAGTCAGCTGGGCAAGCACATCATTGGGAAACAAAACAAAAAAGGGATCCTAAATCAAATCCCAAGGAATATGAACAACCCAGGATTTCTTTCTTTCTTTCTTTCTTTTTTTTTTTTTTTTTAAAGTTGGTATGCTAAGGAATGCACAGAAAGGCAAAGCAAGAGGTCAAAGGTCAAACTCTGTCCAGCTGCTGCTCTTCCCAGCACGGAAGACAACGGAGTGGCAGCAGCCTCCTTTGTGAAGGGCTAGCTCTGGGCCTGACAGCTACTTTAATACCAGGTTATACATCAGGGACGTTATAAAAAATCCTCTGGATATGAGCAAACCGAAGCATCTAAAAAGCTACCCGAAGCCTGAAGTTTAGTGTCAGCAGCTCTCAGCTGCTTCAACCCAATAGACCATCTGTCAGTGGATTTGGACCGGCTCAGCTATTCAAATGCATGATGGAGTCAAGGTGTCATCTCAGAGAACAAAGAATCAAGTTCTCTTACCCACCAAGTTATTACTCACAGAGTAAGGGATGTCTGATCCAGGACCAGCCTGTTTGTGTCAGGACAGCTTCTGCATAAATGCAATATATGTCTGACATTCCACCTCACTCAGAGTGCCATTGGAATAGGCACCAGAGGAGAAGGCATGCCCCACCCAACTGAGTGCTGTTCAACACTGTGTGGAGGGGTGCTCTAAGAATGCAGCTGCACCTCTGGGGAGAAATCCCTGGGACAGACAGTCAGCAGGGCTGGCCCGGCCTCTGCAGACATCACCAGCCCTTCATCAAGCTGAACAACACTGGTGCTGTTGCTCTCAACTGCCCCTGTCCATTAAAGCCATTTGTCCTCGGCACTCCCAAGCCCCCAGGGATTTCATTGTTTCCTACTGCTTAGCCCTGCCACAAACACACCTGGAAAAGCAATTTAATCTCAGCTCTTACCCAACAAAATGAAAACACTGCATTTCTGTCACAAAGTGTTTCTGAGCCTTCTGTCCTCCTCAACAGCCAGCTCTTGGGGGCTAAAAAATACAATGCAGTGGGAAACGTCCACCCCCAAACGCCCCATTTCTGCCAGGTTTCTTTTGAAGGGACAATGCCACCCATCTAAGCAGCGAAAGGGTCTGAGCAGAGGGAAGGAGCTGCCAGAGACCAACAGAATGAGCAACAGAGTAAGTGGGGCTCTTATTTCCTCTGATGACTCTGAGTCTTCCTCCAGGAGCAAGGTCCAGTAAGGCAAAGCAGTGGCTAGCTGTCCTCGGAAGGATGGGCTGCCAGGTCTTCTGCTCTCCAGCTGCAAGTGTGGTGACCTCTTTCCTCTTCCAGCCTTGCCCTTCCAGCGCTGGGAGAGAGAGCTGTCTCAGTGGCGGCGTCACACGGAGGAAGCAGGGCAGAGGCGTGTTTCTGGGAGAGGAATGTAAGTGGCCGAGTGCTTGCTTCTCCTCTCCCCTGAGTCCCTGTGCAGAAGGGCCTGGAAGGGGGGGGGGGGCATCACAGCACCAGGAAGAGGATCAGCACGACCAACAAGACTGCGAAGAGGATGGCTATGGCACACCACTGTCGCCGATCTGGAAGGCAGGACACAGAGATGACCCTCCCAGAATTAGGCATTCCCTCCCTGAGACTGAAGCTAGGAGGGGCAGAGTGGATTCTGCCCCAGCCCAGGCACCAGGCCCCATGCTGGACTGCCTGGGGCTACACTTCAAGCACTCAAGCATGTGTGCAAGGCAGTCATTAAGGACAGGCTGTGAGTCCAAGCCCTTCGTGAAGGCCAGGGATCTTGGCTTGCTGCTGGTGGTCTGTGGGACAGTGAAAAGGCTGCTGGCACTAGTGTGGCAGATCAAAGCCCACCTGCTTTAATCTCCCACCAAAGAACTGTAATTCAGCAGTGCCCAGGCTCTGCTCTTAGGAGTGCTGGGAGAGTGGGAAGGAGATAAAAGCCAGGGCTGGTCACTTGAGGAATGAACAGTGAATAGGCAAGCGACCATGACAGGGAATGATTAACTTCACGTCACGCTTAGTCAGGTGAGATGATTTAAACAGTAAATGTGTTCAAATGACTTCTACAGTGTATCTGTGAATAAGGGCAATGTCTTCTGAAACTTTCAGCCCTACCAACAGTTGTGAATGATTGGCACAGGAAACAGAGAGGCTAGATTGTCCTCTGTGTGGATGACAGCAGGGAAGCCCTCTCCAAGACAGAAGGACAGATAGGCCCAGGGATGCCTGCTGCAGCCCACAGTCCTGGTCGTCTATATAACAGCTGCCCCACAGGGCCCTTGTGAGGGTTAAGTAACAACTGAATCACAGGCTGTGCAGGGCCCAAGCTTGACCATTGGGACATATGAGTAACTTGGAGAGATGTGGACCACATGAGTGGCATTTCCATTGGCAAATCCCAGTGTCCTCCACAAAGGAAGCTACAAAAGAATGTCATTAAGGAGCTAGGCATGCTGGGTATGCCTGTTAAGTCAGCACTAGGGAGGCTGACACAGGAGGATTCCCATAAGTTGGCAGCTGGCCTGCACTACACAAGTACCAAATCAGCCAGAGCTATACAAATTCTGTTAATAAACAAAAAGCAAAGAACAATGTGGGGATGGCTGCATATGCAAACCGTCCAGTGCACGGGCATGAGGACCTGAGTTCCAGCTCCCTGAACTCAGGTAAGAATGAGGCATGGCAGCATGACCTGGAGCCAGAGGCTGGAGAGGAGCAGAGTCCTTGGGCCTTTGCTGACCAGCCATTACAGCAAACATTACAAGTTTTAGATCTCAGAAACTAAAAGCAATACAGGAAAGTGATGGAGGAAGACACTCACAGTCAACCTCTACCCTCCACATGCACATATACCCCAACAGTAACCACCACTAGAGCCAGCGTGGTGCTGGGACCATGAGCTATAACCGACTAGCGGCTGAGGAGCCCCTGTGGACAAGTCTAAGATATTGCCAGTAAAAGGGAGGCCCAACACTGGCAAGCTTTACTTCAGAAGCTCAACTGGCCTGTCAGGGAATATGGGAGAAATGGGAACATAGTAAAGTGCTGTATATGCCATTTTCCTCACTTGATCACTAGTGAATGGACACAAGGATCAAAACATCACACTGTAGTTCATTAATCTGTACAAATACTATGTGTTAATTCTAAAAATTAAATTAGCCAGAAATTTTTAGAGAGAAGCAAGGCTCTCCTGTATGATGGGATGATGATAGATATATTTTTGTCAAAACCCATACAATAGGCCTGGTGTGGTGCATGCCTTTAATCCTAGCACTGGGAGGCACATGCAGGCAGATCTCTTTGAGCTGGAGGCCAACCTGGTCTACAGAGCAAGTTGCACAATGACACCCTGCCTCAAAAACAAACAAGGAGGAGAAGAATCATCTACATCATCTAGGCCAGGTGTGGTGGCTCACGCCTTTAATCCCAGCACTTGGGAGACAGAGGCAGGTGGATCTCTGTGAGTTCCAAAATAGCCAGGGCTCTGTAGAGACCCTGACTCAAAAAATAGACAAAAAGAAGAGGAGGAGGAAGAAGAAGAAGAAAAGCAGTAAGCTTATTAAGATAAAAATGAAATAATAAATCACTTTTATTAAAAACTGACACCCAGAAAAGGTAATTGCTTTCTCCTTCCTCTTCCACAACCTCACCCATTCTTCCTGCCCCTCCCCCTCCAGCATCCCACCATTCTAAATGCCAGATTTCCTAGACCCACTCTGCCTCGGACAGTCCAAATTCTGTATTTCGCCAATGGCTTTCTCTTGAGCAACTTGACAGAGCCCAGAGGCACTAATCAAGTGACCACCACAGGAGCTAACACAGCCCAGGCCTGCACTTCCAAGGCTATTTCCCTTTGAAGTGGTAAATTGCTTCTACTAGGCATGAACTAGGCAACCCTAGGGAGCTACTACCCTGGCCAGCAACTGAGCTCTTTCTGTGTGGCTTCAAGCACACCAGGAATGGGTCCTAACTGCAGTATCAGGCAGTAACTCTGAGCTAAGCCTGTGCTCCACCGATGAGCTACACCTACAGCACAGAGCATACTTCTGTTGAGCAGGACAAAAGAACTCCAATGGTAGTTTCCTTCTAGAAATATTTTCCTGTCTTGAGAGAAAAAGATGAATCACAGACTGTTGATCGGGGAGGGGATCTTGGCTTTATTCAAAAGAGAATTTTTCTCTGGGTAGGAGAAAGCAAATTATTGTCTCCCTTGGGTCACTTACAAAAGTGAGTGTGGAGTCTTGGCCCATTTCTCACAAGAAGTGGCCAGCCAAGAATGGACAGGAGGGCTTGGCTCTCAGGGGCTGCTGATGTGTGCTCAGGCCTGCTCGATCAAACTCTGCTATTTTCAGACTGTTTTTATACAAGGTTTGATAACAAAGCAATGAACTTAATTAGCCAAAAGTTATGGGAGAGAAAAGAAATAATTACAAACTGCCTGGGCAACAAACCGAAGCAAGTATCTTTGGTAGCAGTAGTTCTTCGGTAGCAAGCAAAAATGAAAATGAAGGATGCTAACGGCTGTTACCTGGCTCTTTTCTGTATACAAATATGACCAAGCATCTCCTGTTGTTCCCTAAACTTTCCTTTCCAGAAAAAGTAGAATAAAGGATAAGAAATCCTCAGTGTTACAAACACACTGCCAGGGCTTTCCTAAACTATTCACACCCAGAATGCTAGAAAATAAAAGACACAGGCCACCATTGCTCACCCACTTCCCTGACAGAAGAGATGCTGACACAGCTCCTTGACAGTGCAGCTCACACACCAGGGAGAGGCTGCTGTTTAAACTTTTTATGTGATATTGCCTTAAGACAACCTTTTTTTTTTTTTTAATACAAAGGTATTGAGAAGATGACTCTATGGGTATGGTGTCTGCCGGGTTAAGCATGAAAGCCTGAGTTTAGATCCCCACATCATGTAAAACCCCAGTACAACAGTATGTGCCAGTAACCCCAGTGCTGGGGTAGGGGAGTGCAAGGGGGTGGAGACAGAAATCAGGGGCTCACACTGGTTAGCCAGCCATCTAGCTGAAATGGTGAGGTTCAGGTTAATGAGAGACTCAGTTTCAAAAAAGTAAGGCTGAGAGGTTGGCAAGACAGCCAAGTGGAGAAAGGTGCCGAGCGGACAACCTGAGTTAGAGCTCCAGAACCCACAACCAACTTCCTCAAACTGTCTTCTGACCTATACATGCATGCATACACACAATAAATAAATAAATTAATAGTAAAATTAAAATGACATCTGGTCTCCACACATGCACACACCTGCAAAAACACATGTACACACATGTGTATCCACATACACAGAGACATACCATTTAGAAATAGATATATAAATAAAGTAGAGGACTACACAGGTAGAAGAGAGAACATAGGGAACCAGAAAATAAATTTCAGAGCATTCTCTAATCATGGGGAAGATACACTGAGCTTCATACCTGCTTAAAGCATAAAGGCATTTGGCCTAGACAGAAAGAAATAACTGGAGATGTGTGCTTCTTTTGGGTTTGTTTTTTATACCTTGCAATACTTGAAGGTAATTTACAGAGTATGCATACACTGTTAAACACCTTTGCATTATTTTTCACTCAATGCTCACCCTTCTGTGGTGCTTAGCGTAGAACACGGGGCCTCACCCACACCTGATCAAGTGCGCTACCCTTGATTATTTAGTGAAGAAATGAAGCCCCAGAGACTGTTCTGTAACTGAGCTGGAATGTAAACTGCTAAAGAGCACATTCTACTTTCATCTCCCATGTCAGTGTACACAGGCATTTCCACTTTCATCTCCCATGTCACATGTACCTGACAGCAGAAAATCAACCAAGGAAGGAGATAGCAGGAGACGGGGGAGATCTTTTAATGAGAGAGGCACCCTATGGCCCCAAAGTACTCAAATCATCTCGGTTCTTCCCTGGACCAAACAATCCCTTCCAGATAAAGAGGAGATACTGGGTATTGACTTAAAATGTGTCATTTCCTGTCTGACAAGGGAGGCAATTTGTAGTAATATATTCATACATACATACATACATACATACATACATACATATTCATTGGAAAACATCCTCACACACAAGAAACTGACCTGAAAACTTACTTCTCCATCCCCACACACTTTAGGCTATTATAGTTGAAGTAGTAGGTGTTTTTCTAATGATGAAAGGAAGATAGTTCAAAGAAAGGAGCAACTTATGTATGGCTTTAAGTAAGTTCCTTAGGGCTAGTGAGATGGCTTGGTGGACAAAAGTGCCTACTGCCATGTGGTAAGTGTGCACCTACATACATACACACGCTAAAATTAAAAAAAAAAAAATACCAAAAGAAAAAAATTTAAGTTCTCTAATATGGCAAGAGACAAGAGAAACAGAAAACCAGAAAACGGGGGTGGGGGTGGGGGGGGTGGGGGTGGGGGGGTGGAGTGGGGGTGGGGGGGGGCTGGATTTTGTAATTGCAAGGAAGTTTCTGCACCAGGAGAATAATCAACAAGTGTTAGGTACAAGACCCTTCTCCAAAGTTTGATCATGAGCAGAAATAATGTTCTCTACACATTCCATTCTCTTGACCCTACACTAGCACAGGCAAGGGAATGTCACAGGAAGAGATTTAAGTAAGAGCTCCCAAGAGTCACACATACATACCGCTGGTCATGTGAGACACTTTTGCAAGTTTCTTCATCACATTGTCCAGTCGAGACTGAGTGCTCTCCAACTCATGAGAGAAATCATCTAGCATGCTGAGAGGAGGAGAAAGTAGGTGGTAAGCAGGGCATTGTATCTGCTGTGGGTTATGGTGGGTCAGGGCCTCTGTCTCCGTAAAGACAAAAAGGGGTCTCTGGGACTCAGGATTGCATTCTATTACCCCCAGTCCTTGGACAACTTGCATTTTTATAATTGGGAAATCTATGGGTTTTTTTTTTGTTTGTTTGTTTGATTGATTTTAAAGTATGTTACATGTGCTATAGATTAGTTAACACCCCTTAGCAAGGTCTGGGGGAATCACCAAAATCAAGCATGCCTGTATTTCTGCAGAACCCACGAGGAATCACAGCTTCAGTTAATTTAGCTGAGGGGTTCTATCACATGAGTCTGCTGCAAATTAAACACTTAAGATTTGTAGATTTCAGAGTGGCAGACAAGGTAAGGCTCTGACTATATGACACTCCCAACTCTGGCACAGTGCAGTCAGAGAGCCAGCCTATACAATTCTTTGAGACTCTTTTGTTGCCTCTTAAATAGGTGACTCTACCAACCCAATTCCTGTTGAGAGGAACCTCATAACATACAGAAGTATTTTATGTCAATGTGAGTTAAGGAATGGACTTGTATCAGTCAGATTCTCCTTTAAAACACTCTCTTATTGTAAGTTAAGAGCCAGAGGCCTGACATCACTGATGGGGTATGGGGTAAGGTATGGATGGTGTGTGTGAGAGAGAGGGAGACATGCCATCTCTTCAGACAAGCAGGGGTTTCTCCAAGGAGAAGTGGAGAAGCAGCTGAGGAGACCTCCACTACCTGTTACCCAGCATCTGCTGGAAAACACAACACTGAATACTGTACTTGTATTCTAGGAACCCTTATTTCATAAGTTACAGCACATTCCAGATTTCAACTTCTGACTAGAACATGATTAGCTTGAGGTTAAAATTAACACACCAATTAGTACCAGGGCCTTCCTACAAAGACTTTATTTACCGTGTCACTGGAGGCTATAAACCATTGGTCTGGGTGCAAGTCCACAAAGGACACACGACAGTCCCTCAGGACCTGAAGCCACCAAACGCTCATTAACTCAAAGTCCACATTAACAACTAAATAAATAAGTCTTTGTTCTATACCTGAGTTTTCAAATTAAAACATGTTTAGCTCATCTCGGAAACTGGCAGGCATCTCCAGGCCAAGCACTGAAAAACAAGGGCTACTTGTATGTGCTGGGCGTAACTTTTCTTGCTAAAGCTAAAACAGGCATGCCACTCAATCTTCAGCCAAGCACAGCCACAGCCAAGGTTCTGCCCAACAGAAAGAACATGCAGGTCACAATGACACTTTGCATTTTCTGGCAGCTGTGCTTTTAAAAGGGTTTACACTGAGCCAGAATCTCTCTTGTAGTTCAGGCTGGTCTCAAACTTACAAGGATGCTCCTGAACTTCTGATCTCCTGCTTCTACCCCACAAATGTGTGAACCTGCATGCCTGGCTAATGCACTGCTGGGCACTGCCTGCGGGGTTTAGTGCACACTAGTCAAGCATTACACCAACCGAGCTACATCCCCCTCCGCCTCTGAAATTCATTTTTAACAATGTTCAAACTGTAGCATTCACTTTCCGCTCACAGCACGTCTTAGCTCAGTCTGGCCACATTCCACATGCTCAGTAGGTACATGAGGTTGGTGGCTAGTTTCCTATATAGCATATATATTGATCAGCTCAAAGCCCATACCTTGTCCCTCTTATTTTTACCAGATACATGAACACCCTCTTTAAGTAGGAAATAGGCTGACAAGGATTTTATGTTAAACTAAAGTTCTCTCTGTTCCCACCACTTCAGCTTCTTCTGGTACTTTCTCCACGATGCTGACTTTTGTCCTCAGACTTCATTGATGGTGCAGCACTGTTAGATTAGGATTTGGCCCTAGTCCATGTCATTCTCATCCCTGAATCCTTCCCACTTTGTTGATACAGTTGTGTCACAACTGCATTAGGTCAATATTCAACATTAAGTCACCTAAATGCAGGCTAGTCACAGCTGAGAGGTGTGTGGTAGGACTCACACTGCTTCTGGCTCACACCCCACTGGCTCAGAGCTCAGCTTTCTCTGACCTATTGAATCCACAACCAGCTGCCTGCCCGCTGTCCATCATCTAAATTGGTATAACTGATGTCTCCTGTTATGTGTTCTCCAGAGTGTTTATATCTTTGCAAAAATAAAACAAAACAAAACAAAAAACCATTTCTGTTACGGCTCTGGTGACTTTGAAGGGAATGGAGCTACAGACTTTTCTCACTTTAACTAGCTATCTCTCAGGTTGTCTCCACTCTCAAGCTGCCTCACCAACAAAGTGGCTCAAGCCCCTTTCCATTTTAAATAGAAACCACCCTGGGCGTTTGGGTTCCTGTTACTCTAGATTCCACACCCTCCCCACTCCACTCCACTCTGGGTTAACATCCCAATCCCAGAGCCTGCTCATATGCCATCTCTCCAAACTCTGTCTCCCTGCCCTCCCATCACACTGAAAAGTCAAAGTCCTGCCTTCTCATCACACTGACAAGGCCCTTCCTGCTGTCCCCTGACGCCCTGCCCCTCTACCTTGTTCTGTGCACACCTGTACCTCTGAAGCTCCCTCGGCATCCCTGCTGACATCTCTGCAGTCACAGGCTCTCTCTCACTCACCACCCACCTTGCAAACATCCCACAGCTGTCTGCTCACCCTTTCTTGGAAGAGATGGGGTTTTCCAGCCAGCTGAACTGATCTATCACAGCGATAGTGGCTCTGTCCCCACCACCTCCACGGGAGTACTTCATTTGTACTATGGGAATGGCAAACTTTCTGAATGGCTGGCAGTCTATTCTGCTCACTCCGGTCCCTTGAGCTCCCAGACAGCCTGGTGCAGAACAAGGGCCCAGGAGAAACTGATAGTGAGCATGTGTGACCATGAACATTAGGAATGGGTAGTTTCTGAAACATCTTAGTAGACACCCCACCCGCCCAGGAAAAAAAAAAAAAAAAAGAATGACATCATATTGGCAGCACTCAAGAAAGCGTTCTTTGCTTATCATACTTTTAGAGTGTGAAAGACCAGGTTCTTAAGCAAAAGCAACTTTTAAGAGTTAGATTTTGTTTTCTTTTTTTCTTTGTTTTGAGGGGAAGATTGTTTTCGGTAGTTAAAATCCAATTTAAATTTTTTATAAGCTTATAATGGGGAGCAGGAGAAGGGGGCAGAGATGATCGTTTGTGTTTACTGTAGAAGAGTGTCTAGGGATGACAGCTGAGAGCCCTATGCCACCTCCACATGGCTCCCTTCATGCCTGTTACCCTCTTCAGAGCACTGTCTCCAGAGTCTACAGCTCTGTCTGCTATGCCTAAAGAATCTACTAAGACAGCCAGGCTGTGCTGGCACAGATCTTTAATCCCAGCACTCCAGGGGCAGAGGCAGGAGGCTCTCTCTCTCAATGATTTCAAGGCCAGCCTGATCTACAGAGTGAGTTCCACAGCAGCTAGAACTACACAGAGAAACCCTGTCAAATCATATACATAGACATACAGACAGACAAACAAACAAAAAAATCTGCTCAAAGAAATTTGTCTAGCTTTTAAATGGCTATTAAAGTAACAGCTATGCCTAAACCACCATTGTGAATTTTATCTGGTAGATTTGTGGGAGCTAATCTGTGCAACAAAGTAAAAACTGTAGCTCTAAATTAAGTTGCCTTTTCTCTTTACCAGTCATGTAATTCCCAGTTAGGCCTTCAGGGTCTCATAGGATGGCTTTCCCCCCTCATCCTCACTGCAGACAAGGGCATCTCACTACTCACACTGCCTGTTCCTCCAGCTCCCCTCCGATGCGCTGGGACATGTTCTTCAGCACCCCGATGCTGCCAGAGACCAGCTCCAACTGCTCATCCTGCTGTTCCACAATCAACTGGTGCCAGGGAAACGGAAATAAGCAATTAAAATCCATCTTACCTGGTTCCAAGCCCAGCACTCCAGCAGCTGCTAGTTTCTTTGCCAGCTTGGGACAATTCACTTTCAAAAGCAAAGCCCAGAATCAAAGAACCAGACCACTGCCTCTGAGAACACACTGCTCCAAAGACTGGATTGTCAAGCTACCCATATTGCCTGCTGATCCAACTTGTGAACAGTCAGCAGGGCTTGAAACCACCAAGAGAGATAAATTTACTCTGCTTGGCTGAGGTCCAGTAAGGGAACAGACAATGGCCGAAAGCACACAAGCATATGACCACCACATCACGAGTTGGTGAGGAAGAGGAAGCCCACTGCCAAGATCAAGGTTTCAGTCCACAACACATTGCCACAGCAACAGTGAAAGCGAGCCTAGCAAATCCCTGGATGTGGGAGGACTGCACAGAGTCCGTCTCCTTCTCTTCAAGGACAATAATTACCTCAATGACAACTGCTGGCTGACAAAAACAGACTGTCAATTGTGCCTGCTTCCCTTACTCTCTGTTAAAAAATTGGCTTCATCGTAACATTCTGAGAGCAGATAACTAGTTAGGCTAATGTGATAATGCAAATAGAACAAAATAACACAATCTACATATATACATGAAACACGGTATTTATGAACCAAAGTTTCAATGGACAGGTGATTCTCACATCCTGATAAGTAATGTAATTGTTAGCTTTCTTTTACTAGCATTACTATCCTTAAAGCAAGAACACACACTGGCATGGTGGTCCAGGCCTAAGAGCTCAACACACATGAAGCAGAGTCAGAACAACCATGAGTTCAAGGCCAGCCTGGACTACACAGCATGACTCTACCTCAATAAAACAATAAAAATAAATACATAAAAGATGTAATAACATGGAGACAAGTTCATTTTCTTTCTATACCTCAACCTCCATCAAAGCAACTGGTTCCATATGTATATATAATGGAACAAATTAACAACTTTCAATGGAAAAAACAAGAACTCAGTGTTTCTGAAAATATCTTTGTTAATAAACAAAACCTGAATGTACAAAGGGGAAGAAGGATTGTTTTGTTTTGTTTTGTTTTGTTTTGTTTTGTTTTAATCCTTGGCTTTATTTGAGGGTAGCATACATTTTAAACTCTGCACCTGGAAGGCAGAAGCAGGCAAATCTCCGTGATGGGAGGCCAGCCTGCCAACCGAAGCTATTCAGTAAGAACCCATCTCAAAACAGCAACTAAAACAAAACCTGCATAAACCCTTGGCCTTGTCAGTTTTGATGTCAGCTCTACACTTCCTGAGATCTGATCAAGTCTAGTTCTTTGGGACCCCATGCTCTCAAGACTTTAAACAATGCATACAATCATTGCACCCAGACAACCAAGCATAGGATTCGCTCAGGTCTAACCTGCTTGTCATTAAGTAATAAGCCTGTGGCTAGCAGAAGAGTCAGGGGAGGCACCCTGTCTGCTACCCTGTCCTTGACTGGCCGTTCTCAGGTACCTGCTGCTGTGCCTGCTGCTCCTCAATGAAATGGGAGTTGGCTAGCTGCAGCTCTCGATCAAGGCGCCCGTATCGATCCGTTACTCCAGTATTCCAGTTCTGACTGCTGCTGTCTCCTAGCAGTGCCTGTGTGGACAGGGACAATCAGTCGGGAGAAATACTCAGGAGCTATTGCTGAGTAACTTAAACGGTCCTCAAACCTGGACCAGGCTTTGATGTGGCAGTGCCAGCTGCTGCCTGGTGAAATGGTTTGAGCAAAACCAGGAAGGGCTCTCTGTCTCCAAGACCTCACAGATATACTCTGCTCCAAAAAAGAGAGCAGCCAGGGGAAGATGAGAAGGAGCAGTGGGGAGCAGCATTAGGGCAGGCTGCCTAAGGTCTAGTTAAGTGTCTGCCAAAGGCCCGTGAGGTAAAGGCCACTCACGAGCTTCTTTGAACAGTTCAAGGCAGATGGGACAAGCTGACCAAAAGCTTTTCCTAGTTATAGTTCCCAAAAAAAAAAAAAAAAAAAAAAAAACCACAAGAGAGGTAGATAAGTAGATAAGAACAATCAAAACAAACAAAAACACCAATATAAACAAACCCAAGCAAACAAGAAAAACAGACTTGAAGGAATACTCTACCTCACCAAAAGAAGCTCAAACAAAATTGAACTTAAATTCAAGATTAAATTCTAGGCGGTAGCTGTATATATTTTAAGGATTGCTTTAACAATCAAAATTCTGTGTTAGTGTGTGTCTATATGTGGCTATGTGCATATGAATGAAAGCACTGAATCCCCTGGAGCTGGGGTTACAGGTATCAAAAGCTGGATGCAAATCTCAGTCCTCTGGAAGAACAGCAAGTGCTTGGAATCACAGAGCCATCTCTCCAGCCCCCAGAGGAGTTTCTTTTATACAAAAGTGTGCCATTTCTTAAAATACTATCAACAACCAGGCATGATGACTCAGGTCTGTAATCCCAGCACTCAGAAAGTTAGGGCAGAAAGATTGTTTTGAGTTTCAGGACAACCTGGGCTACATAGGCCATCCATAGCTACATGCATGGCAAAACCCTGTCTCAAAACAAACAAAAAAGTCCCCTCCCCAAAATCAATAACCAACATTTTTAAATGAAGAGATTTAATTTGAAATGTGCAGCCTGACGTGGTAGCCCATGCCTTTAATCCCTGCACCTGGGAAGCAAGACGCAGGTGGATCTCTGTGAGTTCAGGGTCAGCCTGGTCTACATAGTGAGTTCCAGGACAATCAACTATGTAGAGACTTTGCCTCAAAAAAGCAAAAATAAATTTGAAACATGTTAATAATTATTCAAATATCTACATTAATTTCATTTATTTATTTGTTTTGAGACAAAATCTCACTATATAACCCAGGCTGGTGCTGAGCTCACACTATGTGGACCTGACTGGCCTTGAAATTGTGGACATCTTAGGGGCACAAGCAACCTCCTGGCTACATCAAAATTCAAACACAACCATGCCATTATCAAGGAGCCTGGAGTCCTGTAAAAAGACAGTAAGTTATTAAGAGTCTTTAGCAGATGTTTGGCTCACAGAAGGTGCTGGAGGAGCAGAAGGTAGTGTGGGTCCATTGGCAGGAGCAGGGAAATTGGGGGTGGGGACTGGCAGTATTGAGGAAAGCTGTCTAGAAGCTAAATGTTTGTCTAAATGTCTACTGAAGGCCAGGTAGCAAAGCCTTTGGCCCTAACTTGTGGCACCCTGAAAGGTGATGGAATCTTTTAGACGTATAGCTAATACCATCGATCACTACATAGACGGACCCTCAACAGAGAAGCTTCCTCTTGCAGTAGATGGGAACTAACGTAGAGACCACAACTGGACATCAGGCAGAGTCAAAGACTTTGGAGCACTCAGTCCTAACTGTCTGCATCACACCCTCCCCTCAAGGCTCAGGGATCTACAGAGAAGAGGAGGTAGAAAGATGGTAAGAGCCAAAAATAGTGGGCAACTCCAAGGAGATAGCATTTTTCTAGACAAACAGAACTGATGTACATATGAACTTACAGTGACTTTGACAGCATGGACAAGCCCTGCACAGGTAGGTTCAAACTGGACAAAATCCCAGCATGGAGATGAGGAAGTAGGCTAGTTGCCACTAAATGATGCTGGAGGAGTGAAAATCTGTTCTCTTCAAAGGCGTGACACTGGGCGTTTTTAACCACAATCTTGGGAGGCCACATGCTCAGGAAGACTTCATCAATACAAAAGGAACTACATGTTGTTGGTTTTGCTTTTTTAAGAAAAAGAAAGAATATGAAATGGAGTAGGTAAGGAGGGGAAAGCTGGAAAGAGTTGGGGTATGGTGATATTTTGTTGGTGCTCTAACAAGCTTGTCTGGAAATCAGAGTTCAGAGATAGCCATACTAGTTAGCCAGGCAGAGGTGGCACACGCCTTTAATCCCAGCACTTGGGAGGCAGAGGCAGACACATTTCTGTGAGTTCAATGTCATTCTGGGTTACACAAGATTGATCCAGTTTAAAAGAGAAACAGAGCCAGGCAGTGATGACTCACACCTTTAATCCTAGTACTTGGGGGCCACAAGCCTTTAATCCCAGCACCAGGAAGGTGGAGACAGGAAGGGATATGGCAGGGCTGAGAGGGGAATACAGGGCAGGAGGAAACAGGAACTCACAGCATTCAGTCCAAAGATTCCTAGAGACATAAGTGCCCTTTCAGTCTGAGGGGGAGATAAGGACTAGTGGCTGGCTGCTCTGCTTCTGTGATCTTTCAGCAAACAATATGAACAAAATATATTGTATGAAAATTTTTTAAAGAAGTGCAATTAGTGGGTTTTGTGTCCTGCTGTCACCATGTCTTGTCACATACCCAAAAGCACTGGGGCTAACCAATCATGGGTAAAACCTGCCAATGAGCCAAAGTTTGTTACAGTGGCAAGTAATAAGAACAGGCACTAACAAACAAAAGGCAGTCACCATACTTACCCTGTCTCCCCAGGGCCAGTGTACATGGGTATTCTTGAACCATGATCCAGGGATGGCCAACAATTTCAAATCCCAAGTATCTAAACACATATTTTCATTAATGGACACTTACATTTGGATGCTTTCTCACCTGTCTGTTTTTCCTTTCAGTCAGTGCCTGAACGGATGAAGTTGACATCTGATCCTTCATGTCCTAATCAGACAGAAACGACAGAAAATAAAGGGGAAAATACCCTTAAAGAAAATCATGGCTAGTATTTCCCATATCAGCAAAATGCACAATTGATTGTCTTATCTTTAAGCAAAAAAGACAGCCTTCTTTGGCTTTTATTTTCCATTTCAAACATAAGGGGAATTGGAAAGATCTTTCCTTAAAAACAGGTAATACAGACACTAAATTTAACTACAAAGAAGGCGGCAACTACCATACCGAATCAGGGCTCTCTCAAACTTTCCTGGATTTGAATGAGCTGTGATTTTGGTTTTCAGGTGAAGGGGCCCTGGGTCCAGAAAAACTGATCTCAGAGTCTTTCAGCCAACAGGTCAGTGTGAAGGTAAAAAGCCTGTGGAGCCTGTGCTCAGGACTAGCATCCTTTAGAACACATGTAAAATCTGCTCTTCTTAAAGTGCACCTACCATTAATACCTAGAAACCCTTACGTGTGACTTACTGCTGAGCTGCATTCCTTCACAGTACAGACTTCTTTGTTTTGTTTTTGTTTGTTTTGGTTTGGATTTTTGAGACAGGGTTTCTCTGTGGCTTTGGACCCTATAGTCCAGACTGGCCTCAAACTCATAGAGATCTGCCTGCCTCTGCCTCCTGAGTGCTGGGATTAAAGACATGTGCCACCAAAGCCCAGCAGTACAGACTATTTCTAACAACAGAGTGATTCTAAAGTATTATAAAAAATCAGGGGACATGTTATTTAATCTTAAGCAAAACTTCATTAAATAAATGAGTCACTTTAATGCTTACATTTAACTACAATGGAACACACACACACAATGTATGTCAGGCAGAGAAACCCTGTCTCAAAAAAACCAAACCAAAAAAAAAAAAAAAAAAATCTAAAGTACAATTTTCTTTCTTTAAAAAAATTGGTCAAGATACTTTGGAATTTTCTGTTTTTCTGCATTTTTCTTCTGAATTTTCTGAAATTTCAAGTGGACTTATTCTTACAGATGCAAATATTATGGTACTCAACTTTCATTATTGTAAATAGGGTCTTACTCTGTAGCCCTGAGTGACATGAAACTCACTGTGTAGACCAAGCTAATCCTGAAATCGGAGATCTGCATACCTCTGTTTCCCTGTGCTGGGATTAGGGTGTGCACCATCACACCCTGCTAGGTATCAAGACCTGTGACAATCAAATGCTAGATTGGGCATGCCCTGGCTTTACAATTCCTACTACAGTTAATTCTGAAAAACCACCTTGCTTCAACTTTCAAAGACCGGATCATTCATTCAGCAAGTATTTACTGACATCTGACATGTACCAAGCATGCAGCAGGCGGCATGGTTTAGTTCTCTGCTCCCTTGGAGCTCACATAGTGAAGTGCCCGACTCAGACATCCAAGACATTACTAAAAATGCACTTCTCTCAGTCCCTGTGACCTATGCCACAGGTTCTTTATGGCAAGTCTTTATTAACAAGTCTCTGAAGACTGAAGCTTGAACCAGGAGATGGTGATGCATGCCCTTGAGTGCTTGGGAGGCAGGGGCAGCAGATCTCTGTGAGTTTGAGGCCAACCTAGACTACAGAAGGACTTTTTCTATATTGTTGTATGTCAATAAATAAATGAATACTGCTCCCATATGATGGATGGTAACAGGACAAACTCTTGGAAAATGAATTCGGTTGTTTTGTTCCAAACAACTTAAGAATATTTACTGCCAACTGGGAAGTAGTGGCACACATCTTTGATCTCAGCTCTTGGTAGGCAGAGGCAAGTGGATCTCTCTGAGTTCAAGGCCAGTCAGATCTACAGAGGGAGTTCCAGGACAGCCAGGGCTACACAAAGAAACCCTGTCTTTAAAAAAAAAAAAAAAAAAAAAAAAAAAAAAAAGTGTAGCAATTTATGGAAAGGAATTAACCAAAATGGATGTGTAAAAATTTTTCTGCAGTATCATTTACAATATAAAAGTAGAAGGACTATGTCCAAATAAGGGGAAAGAACCGTAAACCTATGCACTACAGTACTGCGGATACTCATCACACTCATCAGAAGCCTCCTTTCCAAAAGCAGACAATAGACAATCGAGCATGGAAAGAGGCACCAGCCCACCAGTGACCAGAGCAAAGCTACAGGCATTTTCCCAGTTAGACCAGGAAAGACGAGCTGAGTTCAAGACCTAGCAATGGGTGGCTGGGCTAAGTTAGGCAGTTGCTAAATTTCCATTTTTTCAGTAACTCACAAGGCCACTGTGGTGATTAACAGTGACCACTGAAATGGACACGTATATAAGTATGCAGCCATTGAAAAGGATTATCAAATTTTGCCTTCTCCAACACAGGGGCCACACAGGCAAGCAAGGTCAGTACATTATTTTAATTAACTAAAATGTAAATTCTGTCATTGGTACACTTTCAAGCATGGCCACAAAAAGTTGAGTGTGTAAATCTATTTTTCAATTGCAAGTTTTATAAAATTTAAAGGAAGACTATTATTTTCTTTTTTTGGTCTTTTGAGACAGGGTTTCTCTGTATAGCCCTGGTTGTCCTGAAACTCACTGTAGACCAGCATGGCCTCAAACTCTGCCTCCCGAGAGCCAGGATTAAAGGCATTTACTACCGCTGCCTAGCAAAGGCTGTTATTTTTAATAAAAATTTCACATAAACTAAAAATTTAGTTTTTACTGTAACAAGTTAAAACAACTTTAACCTCTAATATTTCTTATATTGGTTGTATGTTCAAATGATAACTTTTTAAATATATTAAGTTAAATAAAGTATATTAAACAAACTTTTTTTTAATGAGGGTACTAGTCATAAATGGTTAACTGTATTTTAACTAGACAGAACCATTCTACATCTATCTGTATTTACACACATGTATTTTGTTGTTGTTTTGAGACAGTTTTCACTATGTAGCCCAGATTAGTTTTGAACTCATGATCCTCCTGCCTTTACCTCTCAAATGCTAAGGCACCAGGTTCAAGTCACAAACACACTTTCTCCCCTCTTCTTGACTCTCCTCACTCTCGGATGGGTCCAGAGATTGAACCCAGGATATCACACATACTAGGTAAGCTCTAAAATAAAACTCTTCATAGAAAAAAAAAAATTACAGGATATCATATCATTTCTTTCTAAGGATTTGTGTGTCCCTATACCAGAAAACAGACAGAAAATAGTTATTTTTAAAAAGTATTTACTTACATACTTCTTTAATGTGTTTGGGTGTTTTGTCTGCTTGTATGTCTGTGCACTGTGTGTGCCTGGTGCCTGAGCAAGGCAGAAGGTGTCAGATCCCTTGGGACTGTACTTACAGACAATTCTCTAAGTCCTCTGGAAGAGGACTAAACTCCAGCCCTGGAAAATGGTTATTTCTAGACAGTAAATTACAGAATGGAGGGGCATTTTCCCCTTTCAAACAGAATTATTTACATTTAAAAAACAGCAAGCAGAGAGTTTTGTTTTTTTCACACAGGGTTTCTTTGTGTGACAACCCTGGCTGTCCTGGCACTTACTCTGTAGACCTGGCTGGCCTCAAACTCACAGAGATCTGCCTGCCTCTGCCTCTTGAGTGCTGGAATTAAAGGTGTGCACCACCACACCAGGCTGAGAGTATTCTTAAGACATAAACATGCACTTGATTAACAACAGGGTTCCAGCTATTCATCAAGAGGAAACTACAACACAGTACTGGATCAGGGATTATTTTGAGTTATAGGGGTCTTTTTTTCTCATCTTGTTAAAAGGCTACTCTAATTTTCTTTAATAAACATGCAGTAGTTGAACAAAATATGCTTTAATCTTAGATTTTAGAGAGACAGAGTGCTGATGGGTACATTCTCTTAATGGCTGTGTGGTGGTGTGTACCCTATACATGCTCACAGCTGTGGGGAGCACAGCATTCACGTGTGGATGGCATTTTATATATGTAGGCTGGTCACCAGACACCACACAGCAGATTACCTTCACACTGGGATATGGAATTTTAAGCTGTGTTACAAAACAGTTTTAAACATCTTGTAACAATCTATCATGCCAAAAACATAATTACTCATCATCTTTCTAACACATGAAGCTTAGGATCAGCAGTTAGTCCCAATAAAACATGATCCATCTGCCAAAAGAACAACAAATGTCCTGGTTATTTATGTTCCTGTTTTCAACTGTTTCCAAGCTGAATGAATGAGACACTGTCAATGGCAACACCTCCCACTCACGAGCCCCTTGTCCCAAAGCTATTTGTGTACCCGTACTTATCTTAACCTGTGAGACTAACCCAAAGTCACTTCTGTTCTAACTGATGGCAGCTCTAACTGATGGCAAACAGTTCTTGGGTAAAAACATATTGTGGACTGTTGGGTGTTGGGAAACAGGGTGCAGGTGTAGTTCTGATTTTTCTCCCAAAGTTAAAATCATAGAATGTTAGTGAAGACTGTTTCTAGATGAAAATGGAAGTTCAGGGAGGCTTATGGTTTCTCATGAAAATCTATTAAGGTAGAGCTTAACCAACAAGTCAGGTTTCTTGGGGTCTTACTGTTCTTCTGGTATATGCTGCAAAAGTAAATGCACTGAATCGCTGGAGTAATCCAAAGTTACTTGCAGGATATATTTACACAACAAAACTTTCCCATGTGAAGCCTTGAGTAGCGAATAGATGATTCCACAATGTAATAATATTACCTGAATATAAATGAGCCAAGATGTAGCTCAGTGCTAGAGTGCTTATCTAGTACGCATGAGGGCCTCAGTTTGATCTCCAGCACTATGCCAAAAGAAAAGGAGGGGGTGAAGGGGCTATATTACATGAAAACCAAAATTGATTTTTTCAGCTAAAACTTACGATGAAAAGTTAATAAAAATTGGACAGCCTTATAAGATGCTTAGAAAAACATAACACAAAACTCTTCAAACAAGGGAAGAGTATAAAGTGTGTGGCCAATTATTATTAATCAGAAAGTCACTTGGGAGTGCTTGTTTAGCATGCACAAATCGCACACACACAAATCATACAGGAGAAAGATTTGCTTCTTCACATAAAAATTACTATATATCTTTGAGCCCTCTGTCTGACAAAGAGTGACACAATCAAGTAAACATATGCTCTAGAAACCAGATGGTGACTTTAGTCCCAGCATTTGGGAGGCAGAGGCAGAGGCAGACAGATCTCTGAGTTCAAGGCCAGCTTGGTCTACAAAGCAAATTCCAGGACAGCCAGGGCTACACAGAGAAACCCTGTCTTGAAAAACCAAAACTAAATAAAAAGAAAGCAGATGGAATTGATGTGGTACCACATACCTTTAATCCCAGCATTTGGGAGACAGAAGCAGGCTGATCTCTATGAGTTTAAGGCCAGCCAGGGCTATGTAATGAGACTCTGTGTGTGTGTGTGTGTATGTGTGTATCCATATATTCATATACATATACATATATATGTGTGTGTGTGTGTATACATATGGTAAAGACTTTTCTAAACAAGAGTAACTCCCAACTGCATTCTAAGTGCTCATCCTTATCACACACACACACACACACACACACACACACACACACACACACACACACAGCTCTCACTCCAATCACAGAAGCTTCCTCTGCAGCTGGGGGAGACCATTACAGCAACCACAACTGGTCAAAATGCAGAGAACAAGTGACTGTGGGGTCACAGCCCCAGCTGATAAATCTACAACACAACCCTACAGTGAAGGTTCATGGAAATCACAGAAGGGGGGCTGGGAAGACTGGAGACCAGAGGATGGGAAGTCTCCTGTGAGACACTGTCTCCCATATATGACAGGGAAATGCATCCAAGGAATTTTAACAATAGTCATCTAAACAAGACCTGCACAATGACAACACCAGTTGACATCCTAACATGGATGAGGAAATGTCACAGGGTCCACTCCTATATAGACTATGAATGGCTGCTGGAGGGAGAGTCAGTCTTCTCCAGGGACAAGCCTGTGACAGGCTACCCAATCCCAAGTGGTCAGATCTACATAAATATATATACAAACAACACTAAACAGTAACAACAGGTAATATTTATAAATGCATATATGTATGTACATACATAATACGTGGTCTGTGTGTGTCTGTGTGTGTGTGTGTATGTATGTATGTAAAACAATATAATGAACAAAGAGGTCACAAATTTGAGAGAAATGAGGAGGACAAATGAGTTGAAAGGAGAGAAGAGAATAGAAATGATGGAAATACAGCACTTATATATGAAATTCTAAAAACATTTAAAAAGTTAAAACATGAAGAAAAAAAAAAAAAAGTAGGGCACTACTAAGTGAATGGTGGTTACTAGGATTAGTGCTACCTGAGCCTGTGGTTTCAAAGTCTTTGTGTAAACTTTGTCTTGTCCCATTTCCCAAATCTGCTACCTCCCTGTCCCTTCTCCACAGTTTCTACCAAGAGCCAGAGATCTCTTCAGCTGAATACAGAACAACTGAAGTCAATACATGCAACTGTTTGGGGTTGTTTTGTGAAAGGCATGTGCCACCATTGCCAGGGAACTTTTTGTTTTTAGCGAAGGTGACTCCTATTTTCTTCTTTTCCATAAAACTGTCAATTAAAGGTTATTAAAACCAAATCTGCAAAAGTTCAGGTGTAGTTACTGTTAGTAAACCTGGCAATTACTAACAGTTTCCCAAAATGGGGGGAAGGGTAAATTAAAACTAAAAGTCTATCACTTATTCTGTTGAAAGCACAGCTGAGTGTGGTTCAGATCTCACACTCTCTAAGGATAGTAAAATTCCGATGTACTTCCATGATTTAAAAAATTCTAAGGATGCTAGAGAAATGGCTCAGTGGTTAAGAGCGCTGGCTGCTCTACCAGGGGTCTTATGTTCAATTCTCAGCAACCACATGGTAGCTTACCACTATCTATAATGGGATCTGATTCCTTCTTCTAGCATAAAGTCAAGAGAGCACTCATAAACATAAAATAAATAAATCTTTAAAATTAAAATAACTCTAAGATATACTTTAAACAGATTTTCAAATATTAAGAAAATGAACTTTGGTATCTACCTCCAGTCATAGTTATACCAATTTAATTTTCAATATACTGAGATCTTGGAATTCCAATTTTCAAAACTCACAAATACTACCTTACAGAAAAAAATAAATGCATTGATAAAAGAATGTATACTTTACAGCAAGGCACCATAAAATATCAGGGTCAACAGTAGCATCCCTCAGAAAAGCCAGTATTAACAAAGGAAGGAAGGGAAGAAAAGAGAGGAGAAACAAAGAAAAGAGCACGAGACAGAAGAGAGGGAGGGAGAGAAGGAAAGCGAACTGTATGTAAGAGATAAATGAGGTCGGGAGGTGGCTCAGCAGTTACCAGCACCTGCTGCTGTCCCTGATTTGGTTCAGGTGCACACGCTGGTAGGCTCAGACAGCCAGATGCAGTGGTTTACAAGGCTAGTACTTGGAGGCTCAGGCAAGGAAATCACCATGGGTCTGAGGCCAGTGTGGGCTACAGAGTGAAATCTTGTCTAAATAAGTAAATAAAATAATTGAGGGAATTACACACAAAAGATGTCACCCAACAGTGTCTTAGCAGAGCAACATTTACAACTAGAAAGTCAGAATGTTGAATCCAAATACCAATGTCTCCAAAGGGCACCTAAAGTGAAAAAGATCTCTGCTCTACAACATATGAGAGTTATACACACAATTCAATTATAAGTACCGGGAAAGGCCAACTACTGAGTGAAACAAGAAACAAGGGTGTATAAAGTTCATGATAATCTACCATTTCAGATCTTTTCAAGAGGAAATCACATGATGAAAGTCTCTGGCAAGCACACAGCAAGGTTCCTGCCATATGTCAGCACTGGTCTGATCCCAAGTCTTTTTCTTCAAGGAAACTACTTTCGAGGACATATGTTAATGGCAGCTGCTTCTCTTACATCCAGTTATGCTAATCAAATGGCTTAGCCCTACAGTTTCAAAATACAAAATATATCTGAATGACACAAGGTTGTACCTAAACTATATTTTCTTTTTTATACTTTACTAGTGGGTAGTGTTCTAAATAATTTAGTACTAAAGATATGTCTGCTTGATGGCTTATTTTTACAAGCCACCTTGGCTTGCCTGCTCTGGGCAATTCCTAAGAGGTTGTCAAGCAGTTGTATAGGCAACAGTAATAGCATGAGTGTTAGGAGTTCCAGAAGCAACTCAGATGGTAGAGAGGGCCACCAGCCAAACCCAGGAAGAGCCACTCTTCAACAATGCACATGATTACCAGTCAATCAGGAAACCAAATTGCTTCTATAAGAGACTTTCCTTTTGTCCAGAAATAAAGCACATTAGATTTTTTTTAAATCACTACTTTACAGAAATAGGAGATACAGGCAAGTGAGATCATGCTGTTATGATAACCTTTTAGCCAGCAGCTTATTGTCTCATGTTCAGTGTAATAAACCAGATCATATTAAAAGTAGACACCACCACCACCCCATCACCTCACCTCTGCTGAGCCAGAGAAGTTGTATATGGAACATTCACATTGAGTTCATGCTAACAGGCTATTTCAGAGTCAGCCTGTTAGTCTGTGATTGAGGGTGGATTTTGAGAAGTGTGCTTATCTCCTATACAGCTTATACCATAAGGAGTGAGCCTTACCCTGACAATTTGCCGAGTACTTGTGATGAAGGCTTTTCTTATGCTCAATTCTGTTGCATCCAGGTTGAATTTTCTAGGATTTGCTTCAACTATGCGTGAACCAAAAAGTTAAGGTAAAACAAATGCACCATCAGAAGCTATAAGCATCTTGTTAAACCACAGGACACTGAAATGAAAATCAAACAGCCCAAACCTCCTGGAAACACCCAACCTTACATAAACATCTCTAAACTTTCTCTCCAACCACAGCTCTGTCCCAAGACAGAGACGACCTGGCAAGTTAAAAATAGCCTCTGCTAGCTAGGCATAATGGAGCACACCTGTAATCCTAGCACTTAGCAGGGGATCCTGAGTTCCAGGCCAAGCTGTGTCTCAAAAACCAGGAGCAAGGAATGAAGCTGGGGTGGAAGGAAGGAAGGGAAAGGGTAAGAGGGGTAGAAAAGAGCTGTGGGGCTCCCCATAGATTCGTGGCTGTCTCGCCACAGGTCAGCTAGGATCTTCCTGATGCTTGCCAACACTTGTGTCTATTCTTTTTTGCCTATTGATTAGTTGACACAGGAAACCCAGAGTGGCCTGGAAGTCACTACATAGCCAGGCTTTGAACCTGTAATGATAGCACTGCCTCAACCTCCCTAGTTCTGGATCATAGAGTCACCTCAGCTAGCTTCTGCAAACCTTTTCAAATCATAATTCCAAAATTGTTTTCCTTATGCCAACATGGTAATCCTCTTCCTCAACCTAAAGAGATCAGGGAACTGCCTTTGCTCCCCTTATCTTTAGGCCTGGTTCAATTCCTTAGGACAGATACTAGAAAAATTTGTGGTCTCTCTCATAGCCTCTAATTACATTATCTGTGTTATTATTTATTATCTGTTCCCAACCCTAATTCCATGAGGCCTAGTAGTTAGTTTCATTTGACCTAATCTTGAAAACCAAGAAAATGTTTGGTACATAAAATACTCAATAAATGATTGTGAATGAATGATAAATACCAAAACTTTTGTCCTTTATCTCATGGTTTGAGACAAGGGCAGGCTATGTAACCAAGGCCAGCCTAGAATTCACCATATAGCCCTAAAGTCCAGGCTGGCATTTGATTTGTGATTCTCCTGCCTCATCCTTCAGAGTGCTAGGTTTGCAGATGAACATCGCCATGCCTAGCACTAACAGCTTTTAAAACCTTCTGTCTTATAGGTTTTACAATTTTATTTATCTGTGTAGCCTTTTTAAAATCTAGTTAACATGAGAAGCAATGGCTTCTCTGCAGCATGCCACACATCTGTACCATTACACTTTGCTCATGGCCCTCCACTGCCCTTCTGTTCTTGTGCCTCACAATTCATGCCCCCCAATCTGTCTCAAAGGAAGCAATAGTCCTTGAAATTGCTTGTAATCCTGTCCCCTCACATTTTACTTGTTTTTTAGTGACTTAAAAGGTATCATGAAAAAAAATTAATGAAGAAAAACTATCATGGACACTAGAATAGCGATAAAACATTCTGCTTATCAACTTCCTATAAACCCATGCTGCCTGGTGAGTGCACCTTGTAGAAGCCGCTTTCTTTGATGTGTTATTTTAAAGAAAAACACAAACCAGAAGTCAGACACAGAACTGGCGTACTTTCAAACTAACTAAAATTTTGGTTCTGGAGATTTTCTGGCTGAAAACAGAATGCTGCACAATTCAGCTCCGACAGATCTCTAGTTTATCAGTCAGGCCTTTCCCCCAGCATCAACTGCATAGATCAGCATATTGAATCAGCTCTCACCAAATAGTTCTCATGATACAGGTAGCTCTTTGATGGACAGTGGCAGTTTAAAATCCCCCTTTAAGGGGAAGTGGAATCTTTGAAGAGATTTTCTTCTAACTAGCAAGCTGCAGCACTGTTCTCTATATTCCATTATACAGCAATGACTGCTTGTGTGGTGTACACACTCACACATATGTTTCTCCAGGGCCAGAACCCTGGTCCTTGTGTGTTAGGTTAGTCAAGTGCTATATTACCAAGCAGCATGCCCAGCACAACTGATAATCCTTTACAGCTAATAACTCTGGGAAGGTACCATTCTAGCTCTTGATACATCTAACTCTCTTGACACTGTAAGTTGGGCACTCTCATCGTCCTAGTGTTCTTCTGAAGAGGAAACTAAAGCACAGAGAAGCTTACTAATGTGGGCAAAGCCACTCACTATTATTGTGACACTATTATCAAATATATATTCAACACCCTGGCCCAGAGTTCCCACGGCCCTTGGAATCTCTAGATTCTATTGCTATTGCTAGTAGATGGCAGATAATTGCTACACAGCTCCTCTGATCACCAAACCAACATTACAATTAGTGATAAGAACTAATTACCCACAATTACCCCTTGGAGGAGGAGGGACTAAAGGCTGAGCTAAACACTACTAGCTAATGACCTAATCAATAACATTTCTGTGATGAAGCTCTCCTAACCCTGAGGTGGACAGGCCACTGTGGAGTGCCATAGGACAGCATTCCTGGAGGCCACACACACTTTTCTGCCATATATCTCCTGCACTCCTCTCCCACACCCAGACTTTAACCTAAGCAATGCATTTTCCTGAGCTCTACAAGCTGCTCTTGAAAATTAAACAAACAGGATATGGCTCTGAAGCACAGGCCAGAACCTGGGGTTGGTATGTGGCATCTGATGTGGGAGCTGTGAATGCTACAACATACCATCATGCTATCTCCAGGTAAATAGTGTCAAAACTGTAGGACACTTAGCTGGTGTCTGCTGGAGAACAGATTGGTGTGTGAGGGAAATCTGCACAGATATCACAAGTACTAGTATTTTACTGTGTACGAGGAATAAGTTTACTTTTACTTTTACAATGGTAGAGTGAGAAGCTGACCATCAACTGATTGACTCCAGTGTCCTAAGTGATGATCACTGCTCTATGCAGCCTGGATAATGCAGGATTCGCTATCCATGGAAGAACAAGGCTGTCCTACCTGAGCTCACTGGGCAGACCTCAAATGTGTCACAGTACAAACAGGAGCCAGATCAATTACTGTAAAAGCAGACCTCTTACTGATGGCTCAAGGTCTGGACAGACTGTCCTCTTGCCTATGCTCTGAGTCCCTACACCCAGACATCACAGAGAAGAAAGGATATTGATGGTTTCATCAAGGTCCTCCAGATCCCACTCTATGCTGCGGAGGTTGTTCCTCAGCTCATTGGTGGTCCAGTCGATTTCCTCCCTTGTTGCTGCAGAGGGACCCTGAAGGAGTTCTGTCCATCTCTGAAACAATCCTTGGGCAGTGTTGACTGCTTTCTGTACCTCTCTGTAATCAAGGGGAAAGGAAGGCAAGGTCACACATTACTCATTCTGTGAATGAGAGCAGGACTTAAGGCAACAGCACCACATACCACCCTCATAACCCTGTCACATGACCACACATCACCCTCACAACCCCATCACCACCCTCACAACTCCATCACACCCTCACAACCCTGTCACACTGAACAAAGCCCAAACAGTAGCATTGAACAAGGCCCAAACACACAGACTATTTTGTTCCCAGCAGATGCAGAATAAATTGGCCATTATTTAAGCAACTTTAACATCACATTTGTTTGAGGAAGACAGTTCTGTTTTTTTTTAAACAGACAATACTAAAGTGACACAAAGAAGTGATCCTATAAATTAACTAAAGGGTCCTTCACATTCATTTAGCTTTCATTAGGTGTGATAGTCAATCTTTCTTTTCTTGGGGAGGAGGTGTGGAGAACTACTCTCCCATGGCTTGTGTTTTATAAAAGATTTTAACCTGACACATTTTAAACTCAAAATCTCACTGGAAGATTTGTAAACATTTCAGACTTGCTAGTATCCGCTTCCCTAGATTAAGCAACACTGTGTAACAGTCTAATGCTTTTCTTGTTTAGAGTATGGGATCAGGCCACCTTGCAGATGTGGTTAAAAGGGTCTATGAATACCCCTCACTATCACAGAGCTTAAATCTCACTGTAACATTATATCCTGAAACTACTGTACCAAAAAATCAATATGTAGATGTACATATGTGCACATGCATGCCAAGGCCAAACAGTAACCTCCAGCGCTATTGCTCAGCAGCTATCCACTCTGTTTTTTGAGACTGTGTCTCTCATTGGCTTGGAGCTCATTAATGAAGCTGAGCTGGTTAGGGAGCAAGCCCCAAGAATCTCCCTGTCTCCACCTAACCAAGCTGGGATAACAAGTTGTGGCTGCTGGAGAGCTAACTGAGGTCCTCATGTTTGCCTAGCAAGCGCTTTACCAAGTGAACGGTCTCCATAGCCATGTCTGGTATCCTAACTACAGTAATTGCACACCCACAAATCCATGTAATTATACAGAAGCAGACACAAAAAGGGGTGGATTTTAATATAGGTAAACAAAAAAAAAAAAAAAAAAAAAAAAGAAAAGAAAGAAAAAAAAAAAAAAGAAAAGAAATTCAGGTGTAGTGGTGCATGCCTTTAACCCCAGCCAGGAAGCAGATGCAAGCAAATCTCTGAGTTTGAGACCAGCCTAGTCTTCAGAGCAAGTTCTAGGACAGCCAAGGCTACACAGGGAAACCCTGACTTACACCACAATCACAACACTAAGGAGGCAAAGGCAGGCAGATCTCAGAGTTCAAGGCCAGCCTGGTCTACAAAGTGAGTCCCAGGACAGTCAGAGCAGTTACACAGAAAAGCCCTGTCTAGAAAAACAAAACAAAACAAGAAGAAAGGTAAAATAATCATTTCTATAACAGATGTCTCAAGAGACCCAAAGGTAGGTACTGTCATCAATGGCTCAGACCTTGAAAGAAAAGCCAGAGCTCCCAAGAGCCCAACCTGCTGCTAGTAACATTTTCCAGGCATGAATAAGTAATAGGTAATAATGTGGGTCACAACCAAGTTTTCTAATGATAGTAGGGTTTTTTGGTTTGATTGTTGTTTTTCAAGATATAGTCTCTTTGTGTAGCACTGGTAATCCTAGAGATTCACCTGCCTTTGCCTCCCAAGAGCTCAGATTAAAGGAGTGAGCCACCACGCCTAGCTGGTGGTAGATATTCAAAGAGTCTCAATATTTTATGCAACCTAGGTTAAACTTGAATGTATAATCCTCCTGCCTAAGCTTCCTGAAGGCTGAGCTTATTGTAGGCATAAGCAACTATGCCTTGCAAGAAACTTTTGGAAACACTATTCAGAACTTCCCAAAGAACTTGAATTTCTATATAGTGCCAAGAGCCACAAGGCACTCTAATAACACACAAAACCAACAAGGACACCCTCCCCACTCAAAATTGCACAGAATCACTTAGCAATAAACACAGAGGAGTACCTAGCATTTCAACTGGGTCAACCCATAAACCCCAGCAGTATATAATCCTGCCACCCATCCATTTGCCATCCTGGATAGCAGAAGGAAAAGTAAATGCCCCTTTATCCTTCTCAGATTTCCCAGGAAAGGAAAGGGAGGGGCCTCAATCAAACCAGCTGAGGAAGGGCGTCCAAGAAACTGCCTGCCCTACACAGCGAGCCCTGTATTGAATGAACAGTTGTGACCAAAAAACATACCTTTATTTGGACAGTCTAGCTTAGCTATTTTCAGGTTTTCTTTCAAATATGCAATGGTAATAATTAAAGGATATTTAAGAGTAAAGGTACACTGTGACTTCTCAGGGTTCGGCTAAGCAAGCTTCTTGGAAAGTAACAGTTGGCTCACCGATAGCATTGGAATGGTATCTGGCATTTCAATCCAAACTCACTATGTTCTATGAACTGGAGCTCCTGATGCCTTGATCAAGTCACTGATGAAGAAAAATAAGTATCTCCTTGTGAGCCAGGGAAGTTTTCTGCTCATAGCTTTCAGAGTCAGTCTTACATACCATGTCACAGGCAACAAAGCACTGTGTTAGTAAAACTTGGAAAACCCTGGGACTGTCAAAACCCTAGGACCTGACAAGCTCTCATAACCACAGACAAATAGACTCTAACACCAACCTACTACATGGCCACAGGACCACTTGTAACAGAGCACTTTTTTCCTGCAAACTTTTCAAACAAGATTCTTTTACCCCCTTTAAACGAAACTTCACAGCCACAGGACTAACCTTTAGAAGCTAACTCAATGCTGACCAGTTGCTATTGATTTTAAAGCCTCTTCCATACACCATTCCAATCTGTTAAACCATAGTAAAGGGGTCACCACCCCAACCACTCTAGCTTAGGAGGGCTACAGAGAATATTCCCAAATATCACTCTCCCAAAATAAATCACATTTTCTTACTTGTATCTAATTAAATTTGCCAAGTGTAGGCTAGGTATGGTGGCACATGCCTTTAATCTCAGTGCTCTGAAGGCAGAAGGAGAAGGATCTTTGTGACTGTGAGACTAGCTTGGTCTAATGAGGTCCCATCTTGAAAAGAAAAAGAAAGTTTGCCAAGTATGAAAAGAAATGAGGAATAGCTCAGCTAATAGCTATGGTTGGAGTGTGTCTCTATGGGTATGTGCATGTTGGTGGCTTGGCCCTCAGTATGACAGAGTAGAGGTGTTGAAAGCCTTAAGAGGCATGTCCCAGATGGAGGTGATTAGGTTATTGGGTCATGGCACTCAAGTCATAAAAGTAGTTCTTGTGGGATCCCAGTTAGCTCCTGAAAGAAAATTTCTACAAAAGACAGAGCTTGCCCCTCCTTGATCTCTGGCTTCCCACCTCCACAGCATCTGTCCCTCTCACAGATGACTGATGATGGTGTGATGCAGCCCAGGGGCCTCTCTCTACAGGGCCCAGTCTTAGACTTTCCATGAGCCAAATAAACCTCTTCTTTTTACAAAGTATCCAGCCTTGGTTATTGCCTTACACCAACAGAAAAGGGTTTTGTTTCTTAGTAGCTGCTATTAGGCTATGTTAAGAAACTGCACAATTGCAGTTCCAACTTCCCTTTGGATTTTGCCTTGCTTCTTTTACCATGTACACAGACTCTGGGTTGGCAACTGTTCCTCTTAACTGTGCTTGTGCAACATTACTCCCCAACTCCTTGTAAAATAGTATTTGTTGTGCTCACAGTCTCTGTGGACAAGCAATCAGACACAACAAGGATGACCTGTTCCAGGTCCACAACATCTCAGGTCTGAACTGAAGAATGCTAAAAACCGGGGCTTCCCAGTCACTTCTCTCAAGTTCTCTGAGGTCTCTCCGCATCCCTCTGGTGGAGTGGCTTCAGTGCAGCTGACTTCCTATGTGTCAGCTGAGGCACCCTAAGCTTGTGTCCTAAGTGAAGATGACCCAGAGGAAGCTGCACTAGCTGAAGAACTTCAGAAATCAGTGTCACTTCGTCCTATTAGTCAAGGCAGTTACAAAGGTCTGGCCAGGTGTAACACAGGAAGCATGAATTACTAACCGAAAGAAATGAATGCCAGCTTCCCAATTTAAGAAGAAATGGGACAATGCATACACTGGTGCACTCTGTGTTTGGGACAGCAAACTTCCTGTAAGGACTTAATGAGAACTTTCTGGTTCAACAACATACAAGAGACTAGAAAAGGCAACAACAGTCTGATCCAGAGGTGCAACCTCAAAGACACAAGCTGCAAGCTTGCAAGCCTCAGCAAACACTTTACTCACCCACCACCCACACTCCCCAAGCTCCCTCCTGCCCTGCACCCCACACACTTCACTCTACCGCCAATCACGGATAAAAGAGGAGCTCTTCCCATAGCTTGACTTCTACACATATCCTTTGCATTTAAGGGAAAATCAGAATACTCTTCACTTAGTCTTCCTGACAACCAAATTCAGAAAAGGTCTCCACTTAGTTATCTATGGTTATAGACATTTGACCCTAACTCACTGTCTCACACTCACTGTCGCACACTCACTGTCCATTACTATAAACAAATACTAGAGAGAGAGAACAAGAGAGGAAAGACCCATTTCTGCCTCAGGATCTCAGAAGGCTCACTCCACGGTCTTTTGAGCTCACATGCTTGGGCAGAACATGATGTCAACAGGAGAGTGTGACAGAGGGGAGGAGTTCATGCATGGCAGGCAGCAGCAGAGAAAGTGAGGCAGGAAAGGCCAAGGTTCCCCAAGAACACACACACACACACACACACACACACACACAGTGACTTACTTCTTCCACCAGACCCTCCCTGCTAAAGTCTTGAGAACTTCCAAACAGCACCACTAGCTGAGGCCCAGCTGTGGATACAAGGGCCTCTTGAGGTGGCCCTTCATATCCAAAACACAGCATGCTGCTCCCATAATGCCCCTTGGTAGGCCTGACACCATTGACACTGCAGGTTGGGTCAGGAG